TTATGAGGTGTTATTTAAAAATTTATATTTATTTGGGGTTATTCTAAAATTTCCCATTATTTTTATAAAATATGTTAATAAAGTATATATTTAGTAATTTTAATTTATGTGTACAATTAAAAAGTCTTTTAAATTAAATTTTTATTCATTTGTATTTTATAATCTAAAAATTTATTCTTGCAGATGAGAGTTTTATGTTAAAACCCTTAAGAAGGATATATTCCACATTGAATTTTATACAACTTTATATCTCTTAATTAGGTAATTTTTATGCATAAGTAAATATTTGCATCTCTCTTATCTTTTCTGAAATTGGTCTTTCTACATGCATTCCATAGTTTTGTATATTCTCTAATAACTTCATAATTTAATTGTAGAATGTATATTTTTCATAACTTATTATAACATTTTTATTAAATGTATAACTTTTTTGTTTTACTTATATATAATTTGACTATGATTAAAGTTAACCTCCTATTATTTGTTAACTTCGAATATCTTTTTATTTTTTCTATTGTAATTTAATAACAATGTCTTAAATTTAAATTTATATTTTGTAACTAAGTAATAAATCATTTGGAAGGGTGGTGGTTTGTTTAAAATTTAAATAAGGATGAACATATTCATATAAATACCAGGAGCTAACCAGTAGAATGATAGGTAAATCAGATATTTCCCCTTCATTTGATCCTAGTTTTGAAAAATTTTCCCAATAATATAAATGGCAAAAAATAAATATATAATAGACAGATTTAATTCTTATAAACCCCTATATCACACCTATTTTTCTGAATCCAAGGAAAAAATAAATTATTCTGGGTTTTCCTGGGTTTGGGAAATATTTTTTATAATTAATATGGACTTGGAAGTAGCTTGGGAAACATTTTTTAAAATTAATATAGTCTTAGATTCCTGAAATTTTTTAATTTTAAATATGGGTTAGAAATTGGGCTGAAAATTTCTTTTGGAGACATGGCCAGACCTGATCAAAAACCAAAGCCCATGCAACTTCCATAATTTTTAAATGCATTGTGACTTTTTATATATTTTATTTCAGTTCTTATCAAATTTATTATGGTCTTTTTGAGAAAATTTTTCCAAGTGCATGGACCTGGCTTGTGAATTTTTTTAATATTGGGCATAGGTGTAATATTTAACACAATTATTTATATGGCCCTCAGGTAAAAGCTTAAATATATTTTTATTCAAAAATAGTATTCATTCTCAGTCTTAATGGGTTGGCCTTTGTCTGAAGTAGGGGTGAGCTGGGTTAAAATAGAATAAAATATAGATATGGTTTTTAGAGATTTACCTATCTCCCAGGTTAGGAAAAAATTTTGAAAATTACTATGGGTAGGCCAGGCTTGGGAAAATTTTTTTTATAAAATTTTTATAGGTTGGGCTGGGTTTGAAAAATATTTTTATAAATTATATTAGGTTAGACTTGGGGAAAATTTTTCAAAAATAATATGAGCTAGAATGCTTTAGAATTTTTTTTATTATTAACCATGAGTCAGACATTGGCTTAAAAAAATAGGCCTGGGCTCGGCCTGATCAAAAAACCTCGGCCCATAAAAATCTGATTTTGATTGCATTTTTAACATTATGATTAGAGAACTGCACGGGCTGTCCTTAGCCCAGCCCGACCCCGGACATCAAAAAAATTTTTTCTCGTGTTCGGGTTGTAAAAGCTGTCCGACCCGAAAATAAATAATAATATTAATATCTTAAATAGTCAGTATAATTTATATTAATTATAAAATCATATTATTTAATATTTATCACATTTTAGGATTAAAATGTCAATCATATTAACATGTCATGTCATTATTATTTTATAAACCTAACAACCGGATACCAAGCTATTTTATCACTAAATTGTGTGTTTCCCGTGAATTACAAGATAAGACATATTTTATGTACTAAAGATAAGTTTTATTCATTATTTATCTAGCCTATTATACATTGTCTTTTTTAACATTTGTTTTAAAAAATTTCCATATAAAATTTAAGATTGGGATTTGATTCAGGGGAACTTATTTCTAATTTAAATTTCACTACCATAAATGTTAATCATCCTAGAAATTAAAAAATATTATATAAATATGGTAATGATATTCTAAGTTACATTTATATATAAAATATAATCTTTACTTATTTCGTTTTGGTATTATTATTATTTTATTTTTTTATCTATCTACCTTAATATGAGTTGTAAATTTTAAAGCTAATTTTGGTTGTCACCATAAATGTTAATCATCCTAGAAATTAAAAAATATTATATAAATATGGTAATGATATTCTAAGTTACATTTATATATAAAATATAATCTTTACTTATTTCGTTTTGGTATTATTATTATTTTATTTTTTTATCTATCTACCTTAATATGAGTTGTAAATTTTAAAGCTAATTTTGGTTGTCAATATTTTAAAATATGGCAGAAAAAAATTAGGAAATTAATACAAGATTCTCAAAGAAAATAAGATGTATACTGATATGTAAAATTTAAAACATGAATATTAAAAAAAATCTGTATCTGTATCTTTTGTCAAGAAAATGAAAAAGATACAAGATTCTTTTCAGAATTAAGGATCTTAGATACAGATATCAGTATCTTATTAAAAATGTCAAAATATACTGAGTACAAGATATAAAGGGATCTTGTATCATGTATCTTTAGATACAAGTATTCGCAGTACTGCCCAACTCTGTTTATTTCAGTCTAATTGATTAAAGCCATTTTAAATATTTTTTTTAGATTTTAGACAAAGCCATATTAAAAAAAATATCTCAATGGATGCAAAATTAAAAAAAAATGGTGAAAAGATTAAGATAAAAGAGTATGAAGTAAAGAGAATCTTAATGGAAAATCCAATGTATGGAAGAAATTTTCATTTATATATGATGAAAATAAAGAAAAACTTAATTATGTCATTTGTATTATATGAAAATTTATTTATGTATATAATTCAATAACAACAGGTTAGATATTTATACATAAAATATGATCTTATTAAATTATTTTAGGCGGCTAGCAGTGAAAGGGCGTTTTCAGCTGCTGGTAGGGCCTTTGAGGAGAGAAGGACTCGTTTAAAGCCAGATAAACTGGACGCCTCTTTATTTATATATCATAATTATTCACTTTGTGTTAATTTTGATAATGATATTGATGAAGTCAATATAATATAATATGTTCATTATATTTTTTATATATTTATTAACTTTTATATCATTTCTATATTCGCATAAATGATGCTTATTGTATTATATAATCGTTATAATTTTTAAATTCGCTTGTATATTAATCGTTTTATAATATTTTTTACAAATTTAATAAAATGCAACTTAATATATATCTTGAATAGATTATGGCCGTCAAATAAACTTTTATTTAAGGTGGCTGAACTGAATAAATACACATAAATTTTTTTTTGGTTATTATAATATTAAAACTTAAATTGCAAAATTTTATTCGGGTCGGGCTCGGGTTGGATTAAAAAATGTGTGCTCAGGCTCAGGTCGGGCTCGGACAAAAAATTTTTTTAATTTGGGCTCGGGTTGCGAAAAAATTACTTTGCAGTTCTCTAATTATGATTATTTAAATATTTTATTTCAGTTCTCAACTACCAAATTATTATATTCATTGGGCTTGGAAGAATTTTTCAAAATTATTATGGCTTTGTACTTTGCCTGGAAATTTTTTTAATATTAAATATTAGGTATAAATGATCAGTAATATTTAACAAATAATATTAATATTATCAAGTAAAAGCTTTAAATTAAATTCTACCAAACCATAGTATTAACACTTAGTTTTAATGGATTAAACCTGGCCTAAAGGGGGAGGGGGGGGGATTAAAAGAATAAATTGGATATTATTTTCAGTAACAACTATCATAAAAGTAAGAAGAAAATTCTCATTCCCCGTCATTTTTGACAGGCTATCTTCTAGTTCATATTATAATTATATATGAAAATTTTATTATAAAAAGATCTTATCTTATATGTTCTTTTTATATATTTTTATTTTATTATATATTGTCGGAAAAAAATAAATATTTTTTTGCATTATATATAACATTTAATTTTTTTAAGTAATGAGTAGCCCGTTACTTTTTTGAAAAGTCTGTAACGCGCGTTCCTTTTATAAAATGGTAACGAGTAACAGTAACGCGTTCCATTTTTCAGATGTAACGAGTCAGTAACGCGTTTCATTTTTGTAGTAACGTTTACGCACTAGTTATTAATGAATATTCCATATAAAAACGAAATTATTTTAAATGAATAACTAATGATTTATTTAGTGTTGTCAAATAGGTCAATCAATTTGGAACATTTCTTAAAAACAGCTAACTCAATATTTTTATCAGAAAAATTATGCACGCCTCATGATTTTGCTCATATAGCAACAAAGGTTTGGTCATCTATTAGCAAAATCTCAAGGCATATGTGGGCATCTATATTTGCTTCCAGTATTTATAAAAGGCAAAGTATAAACAATATATTTAAATTTGGGTAGAAAAAATTGAATGGTTAAATAAAGGTGCTAAATCGAAATTATATATAGATATTTTTATTTATTTTAAATCTGAATTAAACAACTCGAATTCACAATAAAAATCAAGATTTATACCAAAAAAAGTGATTTATTGGTTTTCACCAAAAATTAGACAGACGAATCTTATCATATAAATATTTTTTAATTTAAGACTCAAGTTGTGAATTTAGTTGGCTAAATTAAACACTCCGAGTCAAGTTTAATTATATTTATATTCTTATTGAATTTGACTAAGTAGTATAGGGTCCACTGTGGTTTTTTATACTCTACTTTGAATATAATGATAATACCAATATTCATTTAAAATTTTTAATGGATATTAAAATAACCATAAAATTATTAATTTTGTATATTGACACTAGACCTATTATTCACCATAACATAGTATTTGTCAATTTAATTGTAGATTAACCTATAATCAATAGCATGTTATTATACCTCTTCAACTCCAATGTAAAATTGTTTGATCCCCTCGAGAGTTAGTTCTTCCTTCTTCAATAAAATTTTGATGGCGTTCTTTTTCATGAATTGTCGGGTTACTTGTAAAACTTCTATGGGCATAGTAGCAGATAATAAGATGATCTTTGTTTAAAAAAATTCATTTTGTAACATAAATACTTTGAAATTTAAATATTTGATTATGCATATAGATAAAATGCATAATTTGGAATTACGAATCCATTTGTGTCGATTTATAATTCCAACACCAGCCCAGTATAATAAAAATTATGTCTGCCTGGCCTGGCCCAAATTTATTTATATAAAGAAAATGAAATATTTATTTAATTTTAAAATATACTACAAATAAAAGGTATTAGGAGGGCATTCTTTCCTGCAAAAATTTAAAATATACATCAATTTATTTCACAAAATTGAATATTATAATTATAAATATAAGCCTAGCCAAAATCTTTTAAAGAATATTATGCTCTAAAAGCCCAAAAAGGCCTATTTATAATTTATATAGATGTAAAAAAGGTAATTGATCTTAAATTATATTAAAAAAATAAAAATTTTAGTAAAAATATAACTGAAACAAGTTAATAGATGGTACTAAATAAAGGATAATGAATTCAAAAACTCTGAGGAAAATATATGCTAGAAACCCATCATTTAAAATACTGAATGAAGAAAAATGTTATATTACATAATTACATTTAGCTATCATTTTAAAATAATTTCTCAGTGGCATGAATTAGCAAAGGATACAAATACACCTAATCGTGAAAGTTGATTATTTTTCATAGTAGAAAATATTGAAAGTTAAATGGTAAGTGAAAATCAGTATAAATATCGGATCGGTGTAAATGTGTGGATTGGCACAGCCCAAATATTTAAAATATTAATGATTTTAATGAATATTTATTTTATACACAAAATATAATTTATTGAATCTTCTTTATTTACACCAGAAAAAATGCATTATCCTCCAAAAAAGCATTTATTTTGGTTTATTTCTAACATAACTTAAATATAAATGAGATAAAATAAAATAAACAAGTTTAATATTATAATTTAGATTTCTATTAATATTTCATTATAGAAAAAGGAACATAAAACAAGACAGTATTAATAGTTATTTTTTATGTAAAAATTACTAATTTTTTCTCAGACAGTAAAATACAGATTGTGAAAAAATTAATAGTCTAAGATTAACAGCTCAGATGAAAAGAAGGCAGGTCAAGGAGGTCTGATATATCTATAATAGGATTATCTAAAAAAAGGAAAGATAAGTAAAAAAAGAAAAATATTTATAATTTTAATAAAAAAGCAATTAAAGATGACAGATATTATTGGCATTAAAAGAATACCTAAATTTGCTGATGACATGGGAAGGTATTTATCATAAAATTTATGTTATTATTTTAACAAGAAAAAACAGTTATAAATAATTCTCAAATGGAGTTTATAAATTTCACAATCAATGCTGCAGGTTAGTGTTATTAATATTAAAATATATAAAATTAGGTGATAAATAGCACAAATTATGATAATAATCAGATAATTCATAGTAACTGTTAAATAAATAATATTTATGCATTGATTTTTATCAGAAAAGTTATTTAAACCCCTTACATCATTATCCAAAACAGAGATCTTATGAACTAGGCCAGCCCTCTGGTAATTATAATAAATATTACAAATGTGGAGAGCCATAACAGTTTTTTGCAATGAACTTGGGGCAAATATAATAAATCATTCTGATTTTATTAGTGTTAATCACATTTCCTAGACACTTTGGGAGAGTGTAATTTTGTTTTTAAAATCTCAAATTGGCATTTATTCTTGACATAACTGATTTAAAGTGTATAAAATAAAATATTATTTATATTTTGAGGGAAAGGTAGAGTTAAATAGTATTTTATCAACAATAACATGTTTTTTATATATATGCAGCTTCTTGTATAGATTAGTTTGTAATACATCATGGTTAGGAAATAAAATGCAGCATTTATAACTTTTTGCAGAAAATTTTTCAAATATACTAATTTAAATTAAAAAATTTTTTTTACAGTTATATTAAAACCTTTTCATTATATATATATATATCATCAGCTGAGAATTAGATTATTATTTAAATTTTTTTTAAAACAATTATATTAAAACCCTTACATTATATATATGTTAGTGTCAATGTGTTTTTTCTTCAACTTTAAAACATTTTTAGAGTGTGTTTTTTAAAATTTGATTTTATCAGAAATGTATTCTATAATGTTTGGAATAGCTAACCTATGAATTTAAGACAATTTTTCATAAACTTTTAAGCTTAATATAATATATATTCGATTTTCCATATATTTTTTATATGGGTAATTCCATGACAAATCGACCAGAGATTCGGCCGACCATCTCAAAACAGAATGAAACTTGGCATGTTTGTTATTTATGTTGTAAATGTTATTAAATCAAAATTTTAGAGTGGTAGCTCAACCAGATCCAAAGATATACGCCTTCAAAGCCCAAAATCGCGAAGTGCGTGATTTCATTAAATCTTGTTATTTTAAAAAATACTAATTAATTACAGTAGTAATATGATTTGTTGTAACACATTTTCATAAAGTGAAAAAACTTTCTTATATAGTTAAATAACTCTCAATAATTATTGTAAAAAACATTTTGATATAAATTAAATTTTTTAAAAAAATTTTTATTTTTGATAAAAAAAATTTAAAAGTTTTTAAACTTTAATGAAGATTAACATCAAAGTTATGAATCAAATAGTTTTTTTTGGACACAAGTTTAAGTGGAAAAATGAGAATTCAAAAAAAATTTTTTAATAATAAAGTTCTTAAACTTTTATACTAACGTCAAAGTTATGAATCGAATATATTTTTTTATGTTTTGGACATAAGTTTAAGTGGAAAAATTAGAATTTTAAAAGATATTATATAAAAAAAAATTTCTAAGATTTTTACAATACCTTTTTTAAATTTAAAGCATTATTCCAATATTTTAATTTTACTTTTAGTTATCCAAAGAATGGAAATCAGGATAAGAAATTTGAATAATTTCTTAAATAAACATGAGTGAAAACTCGAATTTAGGGTTTTCAGATAATTCTTATTTGTTTAGAATTTTTTATGATCAATTCGAAATATAAATAAAATATTACACAATATAAATCAATTACAAATTCAATCATTTAAAGGAATGCATCGAATTCCCTTTTCAATAAACTTTATGGTGTGAGAATAAAAATTTGAAAAATTATATGTAAAATAATTGCCTAAAATACTCGTAACAATTGAAATAACTTCATTTCAATTATTGGGTTTGGGAGAATTTGATCTATATTGATTTTTAATTACTCCGAAAAAATTTTCTATCGGATTTAATTGCGGCGAGGGTGGTAAAAATATGATATTTGGATAATTCTCACTAATTTTCCTCGCTCGATGTATAGGAGCATTATCCATTATAAGTAATGAATTTGATGGTAAAAGTGCGAATAATTAATCCAGGTATGCCTTGAATTTTATCGCAGTAAAAGCCCCATCTATTATTGTGAATTTTTTCAATCCACTTATTCCTATTGTGCATAGGACTGATATATTTTTCCTCTTGGAGGGAGGTAACTTAACAGATGGCCGTTTCCCCAAAGGTGCCCACCCATAATGAGAAATAATATGGTTATTAAACCCTGTCTCGTCCAGAAAGTATACATTTTTAAAAGAAATATTTATCATCTTTTCACAATATAACTTTCGAGTTTGAATTACATCTGGAGAGTTTCAACTATCGGGTTCTTTCCCAACCCTTTTTCGACTCCAGCCCATTAATTTAATGCATTTAGATATAGCTGATTCGCTCAACCTTAGATGTGGCGGCAAATGTTTTATAATACTTTTCATTGTATAGCCGTTATTATTACCAAACAATTCAGCTATATGCGATTGAAGTTCTGTAGTGTATTTCTTCTTACGCCCTCGTTGTTTTATTATATAATAAGATAAAGGGTCGTCATAATATTCATGAAAAGTTTCCTGTTTGAAACGATAAACAGAACCAATGGATAAATTTAGATCATGGGCAATTGTCTTTGCATTGGGCTGATCATCAATTGGTTTGCTCAGCCATATTTTAGCCAATTTCATTTTTTTTCTTCAAACGAATAGGATCAAAATTTGGTTGCTCTTGAATATTAGAATGACATCGATTTGTAATGTCAGTTAGGCATCTAAGGGAATTTGATGGGATAGGTGAATAACTTTGGTATATATTTGTTATTTCAGATAACCCCACGAGAGAATTAGAAGATTCATTAGGTGTATCTAAAATTTTATATATAAGGTTAGTAAATAATAGAATATTATATTAACAAACCTGAAACTGCAAACCTGAAACTGGAGATAGATTCAAAATACTAACGATAGTAAAATTTGACATTTAAAAAAATGGAAATATAGTTTTTATGGAAAAAAAAATTATAAAATAAATATAAGTTTAAAATTAAAATTGTCGCAAATTCAAGAAAGAATTATTATAGGTTTTAATTTAAGTTAATTACTCGAAGTTTTTAAAAATATGTTTTTCTCAAAATTTTCTTTAAAATTTTTAAAAGTTTTTTTAAAAAAGGATGTATTTTTCTCAACAAGTTTTTACAATAATTATGGAAAGTTAAATTAAAGTGTCGGGGCTTTCGTTATGGGTAGAATGGTTGGTGGCACATCTCGATGATTTTTGATATGCGTCATTTTAGGTTAATAAAAGCAACTACAACATTTAAATTTTATTTAATTTTAAAACCAAAAAAAAATAAGAATTACCCTTAATTCGAATTTTCTTTCACCTATGTTTATTAAGAAAATATCAAATTTCTTATCCTGATTTCCATTCTTTAGATAACTAAAAGTAACATTAATATATTGTAATAATACTTTAAATTTAAAAAAATTTATAATGCATTTTAAAAAAAAATTATTCTAAAAATCTTAGAAAATTTTTATTCTCATTTTCCCACTTAAACTTGGGTCCAAAACATAAAAAAATTATATTCGATTCATAACTTTGACGTTAATCTTCATTAAAGTTTAAAAACTCTTATTATTAATTTTAAAAAAATTATATCAAAAATTTTTAAA